AAGATTGAATAGCTGAGATTTTGGAGTTGGTTTAACTCCATTTGTTAACAAAAGCTTCTGGCACCTGAAAAATCTCAGAGTGGTATCTTTTGCTGTGACCAGAAACATCTCGGTAGAGAGAGGGGCTCACAGTTACCCATTGCAGTAGGAGATATCTCTGGCCTAATGGCAAAAAATCCTGAATCCAAAGTTCTAAGGAAATCTGACTTCAAACTTTGATTCTGCCCCTTACTTACTATGTGACCCTCAGTAAGTTACTCAATCTCTCTCACCCTCACTTTCCTCATCTGCAAAATGGGAAAATACCACCTATCCTGCACATATTTAGGTTATCCTTTAGGGATAATGATGTTATCCTTTAGGGATAACCTAAAGATGAATGCTTACAAAAGTGTCTAGAACATAGATACTTAATTCAGTTCAACAAAAAATGTGCCAGGTTCCAGACAAGGTGCTGGGGACACAAAGATGAATACAATACTAACTTGTCTTCCAGTTGTTCACAGTGTAGAAATGCTGTTACCAGGAGTTTATTTTCTTTCTTCCTCATCTTAGCCTTCTTTTACAATGATGATATAAGTTTCAGAATATTTTCTGCCTTTTCACCTCTGGGCTCTCAAGAGAGATCATGCTGATAGGGTAGCAGTAATGTTTACGTGCTTCATTCTCAAACACAGGGAGTTGGGATAGTTACTTAAATGTTGTAGGGAAAATATTCCTTCTATGCTTTCAAGTTATTGTCAACAGTGATCACTAACTTTCCCATTTTTTTCTTTTTTTAACTTTTTTTAGTTGTTGATGGACACAATATCTTTATTTTTATTTGTTTTTATGTGGTGCTGAGGATCAAACCCAATGCCTCACATGTGCAAGGCAAGCATTCTACTGCTGAGCCACAACCCCAGCCCCTAACTTTCCCAGTTTTCATGGTATAAGTATGCTTATTCAGCACCTTAAAATAAGTTACCGAAAAACTCTTAATTCTCACTCAGTGTACCCCCACCCTATTTGGATTTATATTGCAATTGAAAAGACTGGTCACAAAGTTTAGCTACCTTAGTGACCAATTTCTGGCTCACCCTCCTGATTTGGAGATCAGGTTCTATTCTAAAAACCAAAAGACTCTCCAGAAAAATACCAGCACAGTATATATAAGCAGAGGCTGACATATAGTAACTACAGGGGAAATATAGGAGATCTCAAAATGTTATAATAACACCAAGCCCATCCTTCCCTTGATGGAGCAATTCCACAAAGTCACAGAAAAACATGGGTTTTTTTTTCATTTTAGAATAGATTGGAAGAAACCCTTTGCCAAGCAAGAGCCAGTTGTTTAAATTTTTGATTTGAATTTTAAGCAGGATTATACATGCCTAAGAACATCATGCTATTTTTAGCTAATAGGTAGGATTGCTGTGTCCACAACAGTTTGGAGCAATCAGGAGCGAAACTATCAAACGTCATCTCTCACTATGGTACCTTATCATTTTGTTCTTCTCTTTCTATTTTAACATTTTAAAAAGCTTCATCATGAAAACACTTGTAAAGCACACATACTAGACACAATACAAAGTTTAAATAAAAAGACATAGTTCCTATGTTTTATTACGGCTTTAATTCACATTAAACAAACCAGATATATGAGAGAAGCTCAAGTTCAGAGCATTCTCAAGTTGCCATCCAGCCCCTAAGTGTCCAAGGAGATACATTAGGAAGCAATTGTCCTAAACCTATCACCCTTCCAGTGCTTGCACTCTTTATGTATTAAAAGGAAAAGGGTAATGAAAGAGTTCTCAAACTGTCTGTGATGACAGAGGCACAACTGTGTATCACTGAATTGTATATTTAACTGGGGCAATTGTGCAGTATTTACCTAAAATCTTACTAAAGTCATTTAAAAAGGGAGGAAAAATGTTCTTACTCAGTTCTAATTAGTCAAACCTATTTTTTAAGCTCTCACACTAAAGCTTATCTTGCTAAAGGCTGTTCTGGTTTGGCAATATTGCCTCAGTGCACAGTACCTTTTTCCACATATCTTTCTTTCTGTTGTTGCTTCCCTACTCTCTCTTCTGTTATTTCCCCAATATTTTCCTATTACTCTTCTAGTGTAAACTAGGTCTTAGGGTCTCTCAGTTGTTATAACCATGTACCAACTGGTGGACCTCAGGATTAAATGAATTGCTGACCCTGGACAACTTCCCCTTCATGACCTTAGGCAAGTCACATCCCGGCTGTCCTGTGCTTATTCCAGTCTGCAGGATCAGGGGTTGGACCACATGATCCTTTCCAGCTCTCACATTCTATGTGGGAAAAAATCCAAACAATGAACACTTACTTGGCTGATAATATGCAAAGTTGCTGCCATTTTTTCCAATACACATATACTTGGATTATTCAATATTTAAATACCCACCATGATGCAATCCTCCAAAGAACCATATTTAATATATTTATGAAATGATCAACATGGGGTCCTTATTTTTAAAAACAAGCACTTTATCAAAGAAAATTCAGAGCAAATGCTTGATAGTCCCTCTAGACCTGTCTCTGAGGGTCCATTTTCAAATGAAAAAAAAGAAAAAAGAAAAAAAGCTTTTAAATGCCAGATCCCTGTTGAATTTGGCAAACCAAAGAAAGATATAAGATTGGGATAGCACTGCCTTAACAACAGTGATTCAACTAAAATCCTAAGAGGAAAAAAAGGCCCTATGTATCAAGTGGTAGAAAGACCTGACACAAGACAGCACCTCAACCTCAACTCTCAGAAATATGCTCAGAGAGCAAATGAACACCACAGGAATCCCTCTACCCTGGATAATTTACAGCTTTTTATACAAACCAGTTGCATTTCCCCAACAAGTCACAGAAACATGTAGTCACCAGTTTCCAACATACCACCACCAAACAAATTCACAGTATTGTTTCCATGTGCCCAACATCAGAGAGTAAAAGTGAAAGAAACATCAATTTCTCCTACACACACACACACACAGAGAGAGAACTATGCAAGAGAAACCATTTCCTTTGCAGAAACTAAGTTGTCTAAGTTGTGGGCACGTAATCGATAAATATTAGTTACTAATAAAAATCCAACGGTTAGGGTTAGCTCTCTACTGAGAAGCAAACAGCACACGCATAAATGATGAAAACAATAACCCTAAGGTGTGATCCTTGTCAGTAAGCTGAATGCCAAACATGGAGAGAAATGTATCCATTTGCATCCCTCTTTCCCACTACCTCAGACCAACAAGCTCTCCTGGTAGTTACCTCCCTACTCGTCTGTGTCCCTATCCAAGAAGTCACGCAAAAAGTAGCAGGCTCTCTCTTTTTTTCCCTTCAGGCCCTGGGGGCACTGAACCAGCGTGGGGGAGGGGGCGGAAAGGACAAAGGTGGACACTTTTGAGCCCTCTCAACTTTGTCCCCGGGCTCCCACTGTCTCTCCCCTTCTCCTCACAGAACTAAAGCACCTGCCAGAGACAGGTCCCCTCCTTCAGGTTACTAACCAGATCACAGGGCCTAGGTGTCCAGGGAGCCCAGGCACTGTACCTCTAAGGGACAAAGGCCAGGCTTACAAAGGGAAGGGGAGGCGAAAGAGTCGGAACGGAATGAAACCTTTACTAACAAAAGGAAGGGGGCACTAGAATACCAACCCATCGCTGGTGTTCCCCGAGGTTAGGTGAAATGTGTGTGGGGGAAGGGGAAGGTTTAGAAAATTCCTCAGGGAAAGAGGGCGCAGCAGCCAGCCAGCAGGAAGGAGGATGCAGACAGGACTGAGGCTCTGGGGTGCGAGAGGTGCACAGTTCATGGGTGAAGAGAGGTGATGGCAAAGAGGTGAAGGCTAGACAGGACACAGTGGACAGAGCAACACCGCGCAGTGCTGCCTGGGGCCAGAGAGGGACCCTCAGGAGGTGCTCAGAAGGGGGCTGGGGGCCCGCGGTGAAAGTATTCGGGGAAGAAGGCAGAGTTGGGGACGAAGTGTTGGAAAAAGAGACTGAGAACAGAACCGTAGAGAGGCTGGGGGGGGGGGACTGTGAGAGGGCCTGACCCCTGTCCGCCCCACCTCACCTGGCGCCGGGTCGGAGTCCAGGTCTAGTGCTGAGAAAGAAGCAGCTCCGGCCAGTCCCTCCGTCCCGCGCCGGAGACCACGGACACAAAGCGGGGCGCGCGGGAGGAGGGGAGAGAGAAAGAGGGAGAAGAAGGGGGAGGGGAAGAAGGAGGAGGAGACGCCTGAGGCGCGCGAGGGGGAGAAGGAGGGGCGCCCGCCGCCCTCCGCCTGGGTCAAGGGGCGGGGCGTGCGCCTGGAGGCCGAGCACGGCTGGCCAATGGTCATCCCGCCGGCCTGAAGGATAGGGCGCGCCTTCTCGCAGCTCACCTCGGCACCGGCACCTGGGCCTCTTCTGGCCTCAGCCAATCAAACGCTTTCATTTGTATAACTGGCCCCGCCCATTCACCCCAGCCAGGGCACTACTTGCTGAGAATACAAAGAAGGCACGCATCCCCAAAGCGAGAGGTGGTCGACTCCCGACGCCCTACCCCAAGGGCGCAGTATCCCCTTTCAGCATGTTTACCAGCCTTCTAGGTGAGGGGAGGGGGTGGAGTCAGAGAAGTTTGGCTCAAGACCTTAAGAGATGGGAATTCTTTTTCCCTGTGGGCCTTCTAATCCAGAGCTGCTCTTCTGTTACAGGGCACACAGTTCCCTGTCTTCACCTCTAGTTCTCCCCCTCCCCTCCCATTTTTTCCAGTTGCCCTAATCTCTGTGCTTCAACCCGTAGGCTGCTGCCCACTACTGGCCTTCTGCTGCACTGCATCCCTCATCAGTACGCTCTGAGCACAGCCTTCAAGCCGCCCCAACCAACCCCTGTCCAGAAGGAAAAGGAGAGACAAAGAGATTACTGCACTAGGATAGCAGGGACCTGGTCAAGTGGCTCTGTACCATCAATAATTAGCATAAGTGCAAACTCCCCAGCCAAAGCATCTCTTCCCACCTTCCCTTCTCCTACCTTCAGGTCTGTACTGGGCCACAATGGTGACTGACTGGCCAGCCCGTTTCAGAGCAGCTGCAGCTTGCTCATGAGTTGCATTCCTCAGGTTCACTCCATTTACCTGATCAAAGAGAGGAGTCATGAGCCACTCCAAAAGCAAGAAAGGAAGTCCTCTGTCCTACCAGTTAGAAGGAAATGTCTTTCTCAAAATTCCATCCTTGCCCCCTAAATGAAACCTAAAAGACACAACATCTGTAGTGCAATCTTTGTAGGAGTCTAATGCCAATCAGGGTTAAGATCCAAGATATATTCATTTTCTCCTTAAGGATAAGTCTGGTCTTGGTCCCCTGTCCCTCACTAAGGATATCTATAAAGACAATGTATGTTTTCTCTAGTCCTTAGCTCTTGCCTCATCTCAAGAAGCATTCTTTAAGGAAGCCAGGTCTCCCCTCCTCCCTTTCAGACTGGCACAGCTCCCATCCTCCCACCTCGCCTTTGTCTCACCGATAAGATCCGGTCTCCCCTGCGCAGCTCCCCACTCAGGTCGGCTGGGCCTCCTGCCAGGATGAAGGAGACAAAAATGCCTTCTCCATCCTCTCCTCCTACGATGTTGAAACCTAGGCCTGTAGAGCCTTTGTGTAGGATGATCTTGCGGGGCTCTCTGGTGGGAAAGGAATGGAGACACAATGGAGGTCAGGACAAAAGGAGATAAGAACTGTTGTCCCTGTCAGGGCCAGCCTGGAAAAGGACCCGTACATGCTGTAGGGAGTAAGGACTTAGGTCTATATGTATGATGTCCTGTTCCTCCCTTCATCTCCTGAAACCTGCTTGACTGCTCTTTGTTGTCAGATGCCCAGTTTCAGTTCCTCTTCTCTCCTTGTTCTTGAGGCCTTGGCATCAACTTCCCAATGGACAGCTCTCTCTATCAGGTCAACAAACCCGTACCCTGAACTCTAGAACCCAAATCCCAGAGCCCACTCACCAGTCCTCTTCCTCCCCAGAGCCTCCTATCCTATGGACCCTGTCACAGACCCTGGGCCACAAGAAGAGGAACATGTCAGGGACAGTGGACTCACCCTGAGTTGACTGCACCTACCATCCACAAAATGTGCATACTTACTTCACATCTGCCTCTCTGCCATCTCAAATTTCCACCCACCAACCATGACCCTTCCTACCTTCCCCAAGAACATATTTAATAAACCACTAGGTACCCCTAATAGGTGATGTGGGAGACAGAGATGAAGAAATCCCAGGTCCTTAAATGATGCTTACGGGCTAAACTGAAGAAAGGGGATATGAAAAATGCGACTAAAACTAATCATATCCGTGGAACCCCTTTCTAAATGGTCACAGTGTGATCAGGTGAGAGCAAACTTCCACACATATACTCACATACAACCCGACTCCCAGCACATTTCCAGGCCCACTTGTTACAAGCATCTTTCCTCAGAGAAGCCCTGAGTCCCAAGTGAGGGTCCCCCTTTCTCGGTCCCAGTCTCAGATGTGAGGCTCCCTCCCTGAGTCCCCGATGCTCTGGTTCCCAACCTTCCACTCCTACCTGGCATCCCCTCCAGGCCGCAGGGAGCGGAGCGGCCAGGCCCACCTCTGCGAAGCCCTCCTCCAGGCCGAAGCCGAGGCCGAGCCCAAGCCCAGGGCCAAGCCGGAGCCTGAGAATTTGCGGGCCCTCTCCATGGCTCCTCTGGCTCTCCCCCTGTCTGCCTACCCTTCCGGCTCCACCGCAGTCTGCCCAGCAGCCTACCAGGCCCCACCCCGCAAACCTGTCCCCCGGAATCCCGGCTGGCCGGACCAGTTCCACGGCGGGGTTCAGCCGCCGCCGCCACGGTGGGGCGGGGCCGTTCCCCGTGAGGCCACCGGGCCTGCTGGCCTCTCAGAATCCCGCCAACCCCACTGGCTGAACTGCTTTCTTCAATAATTTGGAGTGAGTGGCTGGAGCACAGGGGGGCGGGGGTGCAAACTATCTCAAGGCAGGAAAACCCACAGCCCCCACCTCCTCAGCCCCTAAACGCTCCACCCTATCCTTTATCTGCACTTTCGGATCGGGGCCACTAGGTCGGCGCTCCCCCTGATGGTAGAACTTGTCTTTGCAGCCACCTCTGTTCCTCTCTAGGTCAGAGAGAGGCCCCCTGCCAAGACGTCACAGCTAGGGGCAATGAGGGCCGGATACTCTTCTTTGCAAGAGGCCTGTCGCAGGCCAGAAATGATTCCTCTCCTCCCCCCTCCATGGGCCAGATGAATGGGGCGAGGGTCTTACCTGGTGAAGTCCTCCTCGGCCAGCATGTGCCTGGGGATAGGAGAGTAGCGAGTGGGGGGGACCTGAGGAGGAGCCGGGTAGCTGACCTTGCTCTCCACAGCCCCGAGATAACCCAGGCTGGAATTATGGCTTATGTGGTTGTCAGCCAAGGCGGTAAAAGCTGGGGTCAAGAAAGGGAGAGAAAAGTTCAGGGTTGTTCCAGGCAGGTACCTACCCCAACCCCCTTCCAAGGAATTTCCCTCACACCCCTTCTCAGGTCTCTAGGAAGAGATGCTGATTCCTCAGGCACCCCCGTCCCTTGGCCATCCACCCCCTAGGGTTCCTCCTCCGCAGTCCCTTTCTAAATCCTGGGCTCACTCCTGTGACTCTTAGAAAAAGCTGAAGTCAAGGCAGTCTACAAAGAAAGACCTGACTAGAGGTGTAACTAATAATAATCCCTCACATCTCTGAAGCCTAATACAGTTTTCCAAGGGTTTTCTCCTCCATGATCTCATTTGATCCTTGCACCAGTCCTATGAGGAAGGCAGCACATATATCATTAGCTTTTTGCCAAAGAGGAAAGTAAAGACAGGTGAAAAGGACTTGTCCAAGGGCACTCAGCTCCAAGGGATAGAGCTGGGATCTGGACTCAGTTCTGAGCACTATCTCCTGCACTGCCTCTTTTTTTAAAAAAATATTTTTTTAGTTGTCATTGGACACAATATCTTTATTTTATTTGTTTACTTTTAATGTGGTGCTGAGGACCAAACCCAGGGCCTCACACATGCTAGGAGAGCATTCTACCACTGAGCCACAATCCCAGCCCCCCCACTTCTTCTCTTCACAAGGGACACAAACAACTTCCCCTCCCCAAACCCAGGAGCACAGCCTGAGGCCAGGGACAGGAGCCAGAGAGTACGTACTGCTGGCGTAGTCAGGGGGAGCGTACATGTCGTTGAGGTGGAGACTGCCTGGCTTGGCCACTTTCAGATAGACCATATCAGATGTATTCTTCAGTGAGGCCACAGCTTCCTCGTGCCTCACATCCTGTAGATTGGTGTTGTTCACCTAGAAAGGGAGAAGCCTCAGCCTGGGAATTGGGAGAAAGGAAGGCCTCTCTCTGGGCTCCAGAGGGGTGCCCTTGCAATGAAATTCAATGGTGTGCTAACAGAGGTCCAAGTATAGTGCTGTGAGGACACAAGACAAGCAGGAGGAAGGGAAAGAGCAGGTGAGGGAGCCCCTGCCACAGAGAGAACTAGGGACTTGGTATGAGAAGATATTCTTGAAATACCCCAAGATGCCTCATCCCCAGTGAGGTTTAGGTGGAATGACAGGGTGCTAGAGCTCCTCCTCCCCACCCTACCATTTGGGCATCCCCATGAAGCCTGTCTCACCGCCAGCAGCCGGTCCCCAATCTGTAGGCGTCCATCCTTCTGAGCAGCTCCCCCCTCAATGATCTTGGTGATGTAGATGCTGTTGTCTCCCGGGATGTGCTGGTTGCCAATGCCCCCAGCAATGCTGAAACCCAGGCCTGGGAGAGGGTCACAGAGCAGGTTAGAGTGTTTGGTCAATCCTAAAGCCAATTCCCTTCCTCCAGCCAACCCACTGGCCCCTCAGGAGCACCCCCCAGGAATCCCAAACACTAGGCTGCCATCCCAAGGTCAGTAAGGGTGAGACCTGAGGTCAAGAAAGAAAGCTATGAGCTGGAACTGGAGGAGTCACACAAGGAGTAAAGCCATTCCCTTCCATTCCCCATGGGGACAGTCAAGACCTGGGGCCAGGGGCTCTGGCTAGAGCACAGGAACCCAGAGGGCCGCACCTTTGGGCCCTTTGAGCAAGTTGACCTCCATGATGGTCTCGGGTGGGGGCTGTCGCCTCCGCACCACCAACCGCACCACAGGACCTGCCTCCTTCAACGCCTCCACGGCCCGGCTGTGCACCACCTCCGACACGTCCACCTCATTCACCCGCAGAACACAGTCATTCACCCTGCGGGGGAAGCCCGAGAGGCATGACACTGTGCCACAGGCCCTCCACCCCCTCTCCCACATCCTTCCCCTCCTGCCCCCTCCTCTTCCTCCTCCTCCATCCTCTCCCTCTCCCCGTATCAGATCTAATGGAAGGGTCATCCTGCCAGACTGGCCCTCCTCCCTTCCTCTCCATCCCACCCCTGACACCCACAATTCTGCTTCCAGTATCTCTCACCCTAGTCTTCCATCCATGGCAGCTGCTCCACCAGGGATGATCTTGGTAATAAAGATTCCAGGGTCATCAGGGACATGGGGGTTGTCGATGCCACCTGCAATACTGAAGCCCAGGCCAGAGTTGCCCTGCAGAAGGGGGTGGAAGGGCACATTCTATTCACTGTGAGGGCACAAAGGAAGGTTCTAGGCAGCACCCCCCCCCCTCTAGACCCAGAGAAAAATTTCCAGGCCCCCTGGTAGGCTGGTGGACATTTGTCAGAAACTCAGCAGGCTCCCAGCCTGTGCTGACCATCCTGGCAGGGAGGCCTCAGCAAACCCATCCCCTCCCCAATTCCCCAGGCCTCAGCGAGCAAGGTCAATTAATATTTGTTAGGGAGTTGATTGATTGATGCAGTGAAGTGGCTCTGAAGGCTGCTGTTTCCCTGTCCTCTCAGTGCAGGTTCCTCATGAGTGTTGAAACTGGTGTTCAAGGCCCTCCCCTCTTTTGACTTCAGCCCTCTCCTCCCCTTCCATCCTCTCCCCACAGGCAGACTCACCCGTTCGAGTACTATCTCCTCATATTTGAACATGCCATCACTGCCATTCACCTAGGGGAAGACACAGGCAGCTGGCTCAGTGCCTCTTGCCCTCCCAGTCATCTGCCCTTTGGTCAACCTGCCTCCTCCCCTCCCCCACTCCCACAGAGTAGAGGGCCCACATATATCCCAGGTCACCTCTAGGCCACAGATGGGGACAGGCTGACCCCAAGGGGGCCACTCCCCTCCCCTTACATCCAACCATATCAGGCCAAACCCAGCTGCTTACTTAGCTCAGATCAATTGTCTGGGACTGAGCCAGTCAGTGGTGCACTCACCAAGAGGCTGGGCTCCAGGGCCTCAGGGTTCACTAGGAGGGGTGCAGGACTGGCCTAAGGGGGGTGGCAGAAATGGAGCATGGGGGGCAAACTGCACCACACCCTGCTCCATAGGGGGTACCCAGAGGTCTGGCCAGAGAATCCCTCCCCTTCTGAACATAGCTCCCCCTGACTTGTGGACCATAGAGTCCTACCATGTCAGAAAGCAGACACCATCTTATCTAACCCCCTCATGTGACAGATGGTGACATCCAAGAGAGGATGTGGAATGTGCCTAAGGGCACAATGGGAGTTAGTGGCAGAGCAGGTCCTAGAACCTGGATATCCAGGTGCTCTTTGGATTAAAGCAAGCTGTCAAGGCCATCATCCCCTTTCTCCAGGAGAACTCAGGGGAAAAAAGGAAAGTTGTCCCCTTCAGAGTACCTTACGAACCCTTACTCTACAACATCTTCAGGGGCTCCAACAACACAATTCCCCAGGACTGGACAAAAGTCAAAGTCCTAATCCATTTTCTACCAAGGGACTGTTGATTCTTTGTATGTTCCAGCAGAAATGGCCAGGGTGGGATCTAGTCAGGATTCAGAGGCAAAGCCAGGGCAGGACAGGAACAGAGTAGACACTGTTCTTCATGAGGTGAGGGATAGCATGGTGACCCACAGACTGATTACCAGCAGAATTCTGTGGTCTTCAAAACACAATAGCCATGGAGAGGCAATGGAAGGGGTCAGAAATGCAGGGTTGATTTGACCAACCCACAGAGATGGCCTCCCACACAGGACATATATGTGGCCACTTTTCAAGTGGAAATCTGATTCTGGACAAACAAGTAGCACCTGCTCCCTGGTTCCCAATCTCATCTGCAAGAATGGAGAAGTTCTCTTGCCTCTCTCCCCAGGCAATCTGGCACCTCCCCCATCTTTTGTTGGCTCTGTTGTCCCTTTCCTAATCCCTAGCCTCCACTCCAGAAGAGAGCTAGAAACCCAGAGTGGGGGCTCCTTTGAGCACCCTGCTGTGCTTCCCCTTCCTACCTCCACCCCCTGCAGCTTTAGTTTCAAGCAGACAGGGGGGAGAGAGAGAGAGGCTAGTCATGCCTCCCCCGATTGGGGATGTGGCTCCCAAGACTTCATGCCCTGCAGCCCTGGAAGGAGATTAGAGGTCTCCAGCTACAGCTTCACCCTGGTTCCTGATCCCAGGAGGAAGAATGGATGGTATCTTCAGAGACCCAGAACCAACACAGCTGCCTGAAGTACCATGCAACAGAAACACAAGCAAAAGGACACCCATTTGTTTCTTGTATGCATCTGGTGTACCATGTGTGCCCACATGTGACAAGCCATGCCTCAAACCCAGTTCAAGTGGTACCCAGAGACTTCCACTTCCCATTGGTCTACCCTCTAGTCCCCACTCCACCCTCACTCAGGGACCTTGCTTCCAGGGCCTAGGAGTCATGCAGGGATCAGCTCCAGGAAAGACATCTTAGCCAACTGGTATAGCCCTGGGATTGGTACCTGTCTTCAGCTGGGCAGGACAAGTATAAGAAAGTGTTTGCAATGGAAGGGCCAAAGGACAGAGGGGCAAAGGAAAGAAGGGTACTTGCTGGAGAGGGCAAGGAGCCAAGTCAAGGGACTGAGGCAAGGGATGCAGGAAACAGTAAGTATGGACAGACAGAAGGCCAGAACTGAGGATTCCTCTCTCCAGGAAGTCCCCACCTTTGCTTCTGAGCGAGAGCACATCCTATCCCCAGAGGAAGACAGAGGCAGCCATAACGGGTCACCAGCTTGGGGCAGTCAGCTCCTGCCCTCAACAGCAAAGCCTCCTCCTCCTCTCTCCCCACCCTAGGGGCTGCAGAGCCGAATAGCCAGACAGGCCTTCCGCCATGCATGCCAGGGACCTGGCTCTGCCGGCCCAGCCTCCATTTTGCTGCTTCTCCCACAGATGCTCCTTCCATTTTCTAAGCTGGCAGTTTAGTCTGGGAGTGGAAGCCGGAGTTGTGCCCAGCACCCAGAGGCTCCCAAGCTGTGCCAAGTCAGGACTGGGGGGCTAAGTTCTCCCACATCTGGAGCTGCCCAAGGGGAACATGCCCTACTGGGGCCAGACCCTGCACCAGGGCAGCTGCCCCTTGCTTGGCTCCAGGCACCATGCCTGCTCTGGAGCGAGAAAGCTTGCTTCACCCCCCCCCAACCCCCAGCACACACACTTCAGAGCTGCTTGGACAAAAGAGTCTGTCCTTCTCAGCAGCCTCTCAGCCTTGCTTGGGACGTGTCTCTCGCCTCCTCCCCCTCCCCTCCCTTGCCTGTCAAGCGCTGCTCACCAGGGACAACACACACACACACACACACACACACACACACGGGTACACACTCTGGCAGCCACATGCTCACACACATATACATGTAACCACACACACATGGGCAAACCCAGTTATCCCTGCAGCCTCATCTATAGAGACACCTCCACATTCAGAGAGACATCCCCACACGTCCATGTGCACATTCACACACAAAGGGACTGGGACTGAGAGGACTCATGGCATCGAGGGATGAAGCTCAGCAAGCCGGGCACATGGGCTTCTCTACATAAGACTCACAGGCGCTCCATTGCCTTCCTCCACATACCCCAACATACATACACACACACATATGTCCCCCCTACGCAGAGTACCGTGCCCCCTCCTCCCCTCCTGTGGAGACACACACAACCCCCGCAGAACCTCCCGCCCCCTGCCAGACACAGAGACACTGCCAAACCCCCGCACTGAGACAAACCCAATTCCCCCACACAGGAAAATGTGCCCCTCCGCCATACCTTCACCCCTTGACACACACAGCTCCTCCCAATCCCCTCCAAATGGAGACCCCCTGAACACACACACACACACAGGGAACCGCACGTTCCCAACCACCTCTCTTTGCCCAGCTGCAATGCTAAGGCTCAGGGATCCACAGGCTTGGAGCCCCAGCAATCCCTGCTGCACCCCAGGCCTCTAAGGCACCCACTTTCCAGCCCTCCTGGATTGCCCCACCAGCGCCCCCCACCTCCGCTGGTCCATACCTGCTCATACCAGTCCCGGTTGGTACAGGTGCACTCAGGCCACCAGCTGGGGCCACTGCCGTTGAGTTTGGGGGTGCTCTTGCCTGGGACTGGCTTAGGGGGCACTGGCCCCACATCCCGGCCGGTGGGGATGAGCTTGGCCTTGGTGCGAGGAGTGGGGGTGGCCCCTGCCTGTGAGGGCAGGGTCTGCGAGCTGTAGCCCCCATAACCGGAGCTGGCCCCATTACCCCCACCTGGCCCATAGGGGTCGGGCACCTGCCAATCCCCGTAGCCAGGAGGTTCGAGGCGCCGCAGGGCGGCCAGGCGGGTCACTTCATAGCACTCGGGGCACTTACAGCAGTGCTGGTGCTTGTGCATGGCACTGCCCCCCGCAGCTCGGACCCCCCAGCCCACGCCAGTTTCCACTCCGCCGCCGCCGCCGGGCTCCCGGGCACACTCACACTGCTCGGACCAGGAAGGGGGGGGCACCCGCGGGGGCGCCCGGGCAGAGCGGGGCCTGGGGCCGGGAGGGCGTCCGGGGGCCTCTGCCCCCACGCTGCCCCGCACCCATGGCTCCCCCTCCAGCACTGGCGGCTCCGTGTCGCCCGTCTTGGCTTCTGGGCCAAGGCCCAGCGGCAAAGAAGAAGCGGGAGCCCAAGCAGAGACTGGGTGCAATGAGGACCGCTTCTGCTCTGGTCCCCAGGATGGATCTGAGTGGAGTCAAGAGCATCTCTCCCTGGCTCCCTTCTCAGTTGATTCCAGCCAATCAGGGCGCAGAGTCAGGCAGCGGCAGCGGCAGGAATGCTAAACAGCAGCTCCTTAAAGGAACAGAGGCAGCAGCGTCCCCAGGCTCAGCCCCAGCTCCTCGGATCTCTAGGGTACTGTCCCCCTAGTGTAGGAGCAGAGGACTTGGACCAAAGGAAAGCTCGAGCGCGCGATCTCATCCCCCTATGTCCCCAATTTTAGCCCGTTCCCCTTCCACTCCGCCCCACCCCACCTCCAAGAGGGAGTTGCACAAAGATGCTCAATGGGTCCCCAGGCTTGCTCTGATCTGGGGCCACCAGAAGTAAAGACTTGAGGGAGCAGAACTGACCGAAAGGACGTTGGAACAGAGTGAGAAAAGTGCTCTTTCCTACAGGGGACAAGCATATAAGGTAGCATATGAGGCCTGCTCTCCTGTCAATACCTCTTCCTCAGGACTATTGTTCTCTCATCCTCTAGGCCCCGAAATGACTGTGTACCTCACACTTGACCTTCTTACATCACCACTGAGGGACTCAATCCTAGAACAGGCAGTAGTAGAAAACTCCAAGCACTTGTCCTTGGTCCACATACTCCTGTCCCTCCATTCCATTCTCCCATGGTTATGATGGGGGAAGGAGCTTCTGGATTCTAAGAGGAAAGAGTCCAGGATAGGAGAAAAGGTAAGAGACCTGAAGTGAGAGAAGTCATTCTCCGGGTCCAGAGAAGAACTTGAGAATACCCATCCAAAGGCATCTCCTTTGCCTCTCATGGCTCATGCAGCCTGTTGGGGGATGGGAGGAGGGTAAGAAAGCAGGAAGACTGTCTCTTGTTGTTCTGCTTTTGTCTTTAGCTTACAATGATTGAGACTTTACGAAATATTAAGTGTTTTATGTGCAAACCAAAATCCTACCAAGGTAGTAACATTATTACCTTGATTTTCCCGACAAGAAACTGAGGACCAGAGATGTTAATAAAGCTAGATAACAGAGCTGAAAGTAACAGAATCAGGATGTAAATCCTTGCCATCTGACTCCAGGGGCCATGCTCTGAACCATTCTAGTATAATGGATCTATTCTAAGTTCTGCTGCAAAGCCTAGGTCTCAGTTCAATTCAACAAACATTCATAGAGTCACCTACTTTGGACAACACCTTGATGTACATGCTAGGGTTACAGAGATTCCTCCTTAATTCAACAAATATCCATGCCACTATTCTAGGATTTGAAGATATACTTGCAAACAGAACAGAACAAAACAAACAAAACAAATCCCTGCCCTTGGGGAGTTTACATTCTCATGAGGAGACACAGACAAAAGTAAACACAATAAAAAAGTGAATGGTATAATGCATGTGGTGATAAGTGCCATAGACAAAAGAAAAAGTAGAGCTGGGCACAGTGTAACACACCTGTAATCCCAGCAGCTCCAGGAGCCTGAGACAGGAGGATCTCAAGTTCAAAGCAAGCCTCAGCAATGGCCAGACACTAAGCAACTCAGTGGGACCCTGTCTCTAAATAAAATACAAATTAGTGCTGGGGATGTGGGTAAAATGGATCCATGGATTGGGAATGCTAGGGGAAGACTCCAAATTGGGACTTTTTTTTCTTTGAGCTATTCATCCCCACATTTTAATATGAAAATTTACAAATAAACATAAAAATTAAAAGAATTTTACCAACCACCTGGATTTCCAGAAAGATTTTACTATGTATGCTCTATCATATGTGTATCCTCCATATATCCCCTACAACGTTTTTTTTTTACATTACTGGCTATTGAACCCAGGGTTGCTTTACCACTGAACCACATCCCCAGACCTTTTTAATTTTTATTTTGAGACAAGTTCTCACTAAGTTGCTCAGAGCCTTGCTAAATTGCTGAGGCTGGCCTTGAATTTCTGCATGAACCTCATGAGTTTCAGGAGTTTCAGGCATGTGCCACCAAGCCTGCCCCCTTCAACTTTTTGAAAAGGAAAATTTAACAACATACAAAAAAGGTGAAAGAATAGGGCTGGGGTTGTGGCTCAGTGGTAGAGTGTTTGCCTAGCATGTGTGAGGCACTGGGTTCCAATCAGCACCACATAAAAATAAATAAAATAAAGATATTGTGTCCATCTATGACTAAAAATATATTTTAAAAAATGTTGAAAAAGTAGCACAGTGAATATCACTGTATGTCTTCCTCATCAAGTCAACAAATAGTAATATATTGTTTCGTTTGTTCTATCTAGGGATCCTTTGCTTTTTTCCTGATCCATTCGAATATAAGTTTCACTACACTTCATCTCCTAAGTACTCCAGCATGTATCTCTTGGTAATAAAGACATTCTCCCACATAGGCACAATATTTATGATACCTAAGAAAATTAAGCATAATCTCACATCATCTAATATCTAATATGCAGTTTGTACTCCAAGTTTGCCAAATTTGCCTTTTATATTTATTTTAAAAAATCAGAATTAACCAGTGTTTTGAAAACTTCCATTAGCTATTATTTTATAGCGGGTCTGCTAAAACAAATTCCCTTAGCTTTCCTTTGTCTGAAAATATCTTGATTTCTGCCTCATTTCTCACATTATGTTTATGTCTTTAGTCATTTTTAACCTAGAACAGACCCAAAATTTTAAAACAACTTTTATGCTGGTCATGGTGACACACATCTGTAATCCCAGTTACTGGGGAGGCTGAGGCAAGAGGATCAATAAAATAAATTGATCACATAAAAATAAATAAAACAAAGGTATTGTGTCCATCTACAGCCTCACCACCTCAGTGAGACCCTGCCTCAAAATAAAAAATAAAAAGGGTTGTGAATGTGGCTGAGTCATAGAGTGCTCTAGGTTCAATCCCCAGTACCACAAAAGCAAAACAAATAAACAAAAATAAATAAAAACAACTTTTATTTTGAAATAATTATAGATTTATAGGAAGATGCAGAGATAATACAAAAAGGGCCTGTGTACCCTTCACCCAGTTTCCCCCAATTATTTATTTATTTAATTTTTAGTTGTAGTTGGACACAATATTTTATTTTTATGCGGTGCTGAGGATCGAACCCAGGGCCTCGCACTTGCTAGGTAAGCGCTCTACTGCTGGGCCACAACCTCAGCCCTCCCCCAATTATTACATCTTCCATAATTACAGTACAAAATCCAAATCAGGAAGCTGACATTGATACAGTGTGTATATAATTCTATGCCACTTTGTCACAGATGGAGAGTCTTGTAACAACAACTGCAATGGAAATACAGAACTATTTTGTCACCACAGAGACCTAGTGGTGTCATCATTTAATTGAGGTAAGGAAAGAATAGAAACCTTACCTCCTTTCAAGTCCCTTTATTCCCTCTCTTTACTTTTCTTTTTTCTTTTGCGGGGGGGGGGGGGGTACTGGGGATTGAACTCAGGGGCATTCAACCACTGAGCCACATCCCCAGCCCTATTTTGTATTTTATTTCTCCTATTTCCTTAACAAAACTGGCTGAGCTGCTTAGAGTGCGCCACTGTGCCCGGCTCTTTCCCATTTCTAATAAGATTATGTTAAATATTTCCTCCATTGAGATCCACAATCTTATACTCATTGCTTCAGTTATCAAACATAGATGACTGAAGAGAAGGAAAGTCTATTGTAATTGCCCATATTTGTGCTCATTCTATTCTTTCTTCCTTCCTGAGATTCCAAGATTTCTTCTTTTATCATTATGTTTTGAAAACTTCCATTAGCCATTATTTTAGAGTGAGTCTGCTGGCACAAATTCTCTTGGCTTTTCTTTGTCTGAGAATGTCTTGATTTCTGCCTCATTTTGCCACCTCCTCCTCCTGCAGTACTAAGGATCAAACCCAGGGCCTCAAGCATGCTAGCCCTTTTTCATTGTTTATTTTGAGACAAGTCTGGTTAAGTTGCCCAGCCTGACCTTGAACATGTTATAAGTTTTTTAGTTTGTTGTTATAGTTTTCTTGTTATAAAATTTCTAATTGATTCTTCATTATATCTCCTATTTCCTTGCCAAAACTTTCTATTTTTTGTTCATTTCAACTTTCTTTGTAATTGCTCATTGAAGCAGTTATTTTGAAATGTTGGTTACTTTTGATCTTGTCAAATAATTAAAACCTCTCTGTCATCTCAGTGCTGGTGTTTATTCATCATTTCTCCTTGAAGTTGAGGGTCTCAGGATTCTTGGTATGATGAATGATTTTTTTTTTTATTGCATCTTGGGGATTTTTGTTGTGAGACTCTGGATTTTATTTAAACCTTGGTTTTGGTAGGCTTTTTTAGATACCAATGCCATCAGAGGAAGAGGCTACTGCCTACTTGCTGCCAGGTAAGGGTTCAAGTTCAAGTCTCCACCCCTTGGCCTCAGTTGGGGTTCCTTCTTACTGATGCACAGAGAGGGATATTCCAGCTCCCTACTAGGCCTCCGCTGATGTCTCCCTGGCTGAGAGAGGTTGAAATGCCGCTTTAGTTTTCCAGGCAGTATCCACTGACACTGTGGGTAGGAAGTGGAAGAAAGATTGACAGGGGAAGAATCAGGGCAGAGACCTCATTAATGCTTCATTGTTGTGAAAGTTCTGACTCTTCACTAGGCTTCCGCAGATACTCTGACACCACCCAACAGGGAGAGAGGTCTTATTACCCTGTGGGGATGGAAGTCTGGGCTCTCTACACAGCCCTCTCTGACTCCACTGTAGAGAGAGAGGGAAAGTCTGGACAGGGACAAAGTCTGGATTCTCTACTTGACTTTTCCTCGCTTGGGTGGAGCTGCAGGTTCTGTGGTGTTTGATTTTAGTGGTTATTGTCTAAGAATTTTCTATCTGGCTAAGCTGGTCTTCTGGACAGAGAAAGCAAGCTTTTATTAGGGAGCATCTCCCTACTCATCTATTCACAGTGGCTTTTCCAAGCTGCTAGATTCTTCAGCACTCAGTCTGGGATATTCAAGGCAACAGGAAAACCCAGGGAATGTACCACCATGGTTTCTGGTCACTGAGTTTCCTAGTCAGTCTGCCCTTTTCTCCTTACAGTCTTATGTTTGTTTTATATATAATGTCTAAAGTTTTAACTATAATTGGTGTGAGGAATAGGGAGAAATATGTTTAGTTCAGTCAGGTCCAAAACTGGAAGTCCTCCATCTTTTTTCTTTTTTTCCTTTTTTTTTTTTTTTTTTTTTTTTTAGTGCTAGGGATTGAACCCAGTACTCATGCATGCCAGGGAAGTGTTCTGAACCACATCCACACACCCAGTCCCTGATCTTTTTTTTTTTTTTAATTAAGCATGTTTATTTTTTGAAGAGTACAAGTCAGTTGTTTTATAGAATATCCTACAGTCTGGATTTGTCTGTTTTTCCCCCTTCATGTTGTCATTTATCTTGTTCCTTTATACCCTGTATTTACTGTAACCTAGAAATTAGAATAGAGGGAATATTAAATAGGTTAGTGAGGATAAACCTCACCAAGAAGTTGGCATTTGAGCAGAGACTTGTGGCCAGTCAGGAAGTGTACTATGCAGAAGAGTAAACCTAGCAAGGGAACAGCCAGTGCAAAAGTCCTATGTAAGAGTGTACCTGGCCTATTCAAGGAACAGAAGTGAGGACCCAGTGGATGTAAGTGTGAGAGAGTGTGAGAATAGCCGGAGACAAGATCAGAAATTCAATAAGGTACATAGGGCCTTGAAGATCATTGTAAGAGTATTGGCTTTACATTTTAAAATATCTTTATTTTATTTTTTTATGTGGTGTTGGGGAACAAACCCAGTGCCTCACGCATGGTAGGCGAGCACTCTACCTCTGATCCACAGCCCCAACCCTCGGCTTTACTCTTCAAGACAGGGAGTCATATGAGGGTTTTGTGCAGAGAACTGACATGCTCTGATCTGGTTTTATCTGGATTGGTCCAGTTTCTTTGCGGACAAGAGGCTGCAAGGTGTAAGGGTAGAGGCAGTGAGACTAGTCAGGACGCTACTGAAGTGATCTTACTGAAAGGTAATAGTGGCTTGGAACAGGTGGCAACACTGGAGGTGATGAGAAGTGGTTGGTTTCTGGGTATATTTTGAAGGGACAGATGCAGGATTTGCTGAAACCACAAGATGTGGTTGCTTTCAAGGATTTTTTTTTTTTTTGCAGAGCAACTGGGAAGGTGAAATGGCTATTGATTGTAATGAGGACTTTAGGAGTGGTCATTTTGGGGGGAAAGATCAGATTTGGACATGTTGAATTTGAGATGTCTACTAGACATCCAAGTGGAGATGAACACAACCCTGCTGCCAACATGCTAAAAGTTAGAGAAATAGAAATACAGAATTAGATCATTGTAATATCAATGAAAAGTGCTATTTCAGAGGGGTGCACAGAAAAGCAAGTTATCAACTTTACTTGGGTGGGGAAGGACTTAAGAAGAGTTTCAAAAAGGGGTTGACATCTTTAGTTTGGGACTAGGTGTTCATTAAGTAGACAAAAGAGAGAAGTGTCGTGTTTTCTGTCTTCTTAGATTTTGACTCACAGTGGTTGTTCAGTCAGACCCAACCCAGTCACCAGTTGTGTGACCTTGGGCATTACTTCTCTGAGACTCAGTTCTTTAAATCTGTGAAATGGAAATAATCATAGCATTTTTGTGAAGATTAAATGTAGAACGCTTAACATACCTCATAGTAGGTTAGTGTTAATTATTATTGTTGAATATACGAATGAATGAATGAACGACTATCTTTCTTAATGGCCAAGTCTAGATTAGTCTGGTAACTAGGGAGCTTGAAGTGTCGTATAAGCTCAGCAGTTTGCTAATAAAGAGTGCTAAACTCCTTTCTACATCCTAAAAGTGGTTCAGGAAAAAAAAAAAGTCCCAGAGAGCCTGGACCTTCTGAACTTCTCTGATAGAGGAATTAAGTATTGGGAAGCCTGAAGTGAATAGAGAGGGTCAATTTTTTCTCCCAATTTTGTCTTGCCTCATTCCCTTTGACTCCTCCCTCCCCTCCTTCTATTCTTCTTCCTTTCCTCTTTTCATTTTTTAATGAATCCAAGTAAACTCCCTTCAGATTCATAGTAAGCTTCTCTCCACTCCACAGGCTCTTGAACACTTAGAATGAACCCCACAGATAAGCCAAGGAGATCAACAACACTGGGACTCTGACGCTTAACCAGAGACCAGCCCCCCCACTCCCAACTGCTAGGGCTCCAGCCAGAGGCCCCAGGGAGGTCGGCGCCCCCTATGGGTGGAAAGCGTTCTCTACGCCCCTGCAGGCGGCTGTGGTTGCTAGGTGACCGCGCGGCCTGCGCTGAGACAGGCAATGGAGTTCAGGAAAGGGATTTGTCGGGAGAGAGACCATTTCTCTCCTTCCACCGCCTCTTCCGCGCCTTCAGCAAATAGACGGGGTTGGGGCGGCGCTGCTTGCTGTTGTCATATAATCTGAGCTCATTCTTGAAAACAGAGCTTCATCAGGTGACCTCAGTCTGTGTGTGGAGAAACGGATCTCACTTGCCCCAAATGTGGTTTCTTCTGGAATCTGAAAACCCAGGTCGCTGAAGGCAGAAGTTTCTGGTTCACAAGAAGTGGAGGATGGGCATTATTGTGGGTTCAATGAGAATTCTGACAAATTGAGAGTGGGTGGGAATAATTTTGGTGATCAGTCCTGTATCAATATTTCCCAAACACTCCCAATTAGGAAAGTCCAACTTTAACCCATTAAAATAAGAAGGCCCCATGGGAATGACAATATAAAGGATCATTCATACCTCTGTGGGGACAAAATTCTCAGTGACTTTCCTGAATTAGATTTCTCCACTAAGACGGGAGAGATCATGAGGTTGGCAGACCCCTGTGAGTAGGGACACAGCCCAACAAGAGGGAAAGAAATAACAAGAGAGAGTGGTAAACATGGTATTCAGTAGCTTCCTAGTTCTGTCTGGTTTGGGGATACCTGGCTCTGTGCTGAAGTACCTTGTCTTTATGAGAGTCTTTGGCAACCAGAAATCCACAGCTTTATCCTCCCAGCAACTGAGCATTCTGGCCCAGGAGTAGGTCCAGGCAGGCCAAGGCCATGGCTGTTTAATAACCTCTCCATTAGAACTTGCCCTCTCAGCTAGTACAACAGAAGCTTCCTGTGGCACAGCCCCAAGCCATGGCAAGCTCAGGGGAGAGCTGTGCCCAGGAGTTTCCTTGTGGGCTTTCCCCCAAGAGTTCCAAGGTAGTGATACTAGCCAGAGGTAACTGGCAGCTAGAGAGCATCTGGCCCAGCCACTGCCCTCAGTCCCCAACATTCCACAAGACAGGATGGCAGAGAAGAGGATCCTGGCTCCCTGTGTTTCCAAATTGAACTGGGTCGGGGCTGTGCCTCTGCTCTATTAATAGCCCCCTAGCCCAGCCTGCTAGCCCCAAACCCGGATGCCAGGAGCAGTGAGTCAGCAGCTAAAAATAACAAGCAACTGCACCCGAACCCCAATGAGCACCTCCCCCAGGCCCTCCACCCTTAAGTTTTTGTCAGTTTCAGTCTCTAGTCCAGAGCGTCATAGGGTTTAGGCATGCTATAGCTGTCCAGTCCTCCTGGGAAAAGAGTAAGGATTTACAATGGCAGACTCAGGGCTGAGTACCCAAGGCTGGAGGCCAGGGGCTAAGGGCAAGGGCTGGAGCTGGGCACTGGCCTTCCAGCTGGGTATCAGGACCCTGAGGTTAGAGGACAACAGCTGAGAGTGTGGGAGCTAGGAGGTTGGGGCTGTAGGGGTGGAGACACTGGAGTACGATAGGGTGAAGTCGGTAGGTGAGGAGAAGAAGAGGCTGCAAGGCTTGAGTCTGGGCGACTGACAGGGAACAGAAAAGAAGGGATAAGGGGAGGGAGGTACATGCTGAGAGGTTACATCCCTGCTGTACCTGACAGACTGGGAGTTCCAGAGCTGAAGTCGGTAATCCGCCTGACTGAGGGGTGGTATCGGGAATGGGGGAAAGTAAGGAAATGCAGCTTGAAAGGCAGTGTGTGAAGGAGACCTGCTCAGTGCAAGGCGGCGTGGATTCCCAAGACCAGGTCTTAGGCAGCAGCCGCCAGGTTTGCTCCCAGTGCGCTCCAGCCTCCCTACAAGTCGCACGCCGGTGCCCCCATCCCCCGTGCCAGCTGCAGGCAAGGTATGTTGGTGTGGACGGTTGACTGAATATGCATGTGCATGTGTGTGCATGGAAGGGGCGGGGCGGCGAGAGAGGGGGAAGAGGCGGGGTCCGCGAGCAGGAGGGGGCGGGAACACAAATTCAAACTCGCCTCCGTAAGTCCATAGACCGGAAATACCCTGAGGCATACTGGGAATTGTAGTTCCCTTGGCAGCCTTGCAACCGAGGGGTCTAGGGTCTGATCCCGAGGTTCTTGTGCTGCCTGCCCAGGTCCCAGTCTGGCGAAAGAGGATAAATTGAAAACAGAGTCTCCTGACCAGGCCAGAGCCTTAATTCGACTGACCTTTGTGTGGAGGCACGAACCAGGGCAAATATCAGTATAATGGAGGACTGTAGGGTCAGCACAGTGCATCCTCTTGTCCTAGTTTTTGACCTAGCCCTCTCCCGCCCCCCCCCCCCTTTTTTTTTTAACCAGACTTCACATCCTAGGCCAGCTCCACACTGGCCATCTCCACTGCTTAGCCCAGGGAGTTACAAGCAGCAATCACACTGGGGAACTTGCTCCTCGAGAGGAAGGCTGGGCCGGAAACAAAACCCTGAGCACAGCCTAGAGGAGCGAAAACTTATGGAAATCAGACAGTGCCTAGAGAGTCCGCAGTCAAGGACATGAGTCCCCATCGGCATGGAAAACAGGTAGCATTCAACAAACACGTCAAGGTGACGACGGACGCGGCCCTCCTTTGGGCGGGTGACCACAAGGTGGAGCCAAAACGCAATCCTACACAGCTCACTTGGGCCACCAGGAATGTTTCCCATGATGGCTACTTTCCAGCTTGCTTCTGACAGTCCTTAATTGCCACAGGTGGTTGTCCTCCCACCTCCAACCGAATCTCCCCATGATGAACCCTCAATATCATGTCACATCCAACCTGAGATAGAAGATGCACCCTCCTAGTCCTAGTGCTGAAAAGATTAGACTGTGACCAAATGGGAAATAAATTCATTGAGTAACAGACTGACAAGCAAGATACAGGAACCATCTAGTCTTGAAGAAAAAATAAAAGGTTGTTTACAGCAAAAAGCTACCTGTAGGCACAAAATTACATATCTAAATGGGCTTTAAGCAGAAAAGCAGCTAAATCACAAGGGTCAGGTGAGACACTCCATGGAGTGGGGACTGTGTCTCCATCATCTTAGAGTTCTCCAGGAAAGGTCACTTTATCATCTCTTTCCACCACTGTTCTAAGCTGTGCCACCCTGATACACCCTATGCCTTCTAAGTAAAAACACACACACACACACACACATGTCTGAAACCTTATCTTGTCAACCTTCCTTTTACTTCCTCAAATTAGTTTCAATTTGGGAGAAACTTCTCATGACTCACTGTTTCCCAAACTATATCTCAGGTCAAAACCCTGAGGGCAGCAGATTCCATGGCAGCTTGAGGCATGCCCACCATCTGGGCAGAGGTCTATCCTGGTTCAAAACCTCCTCTTGGGAAAATTCCACCGCACCACAACACACTACCCCAGAGTATTCCTCTTCAGCCCCTCTTCTTCCCTTGCAATTGACCAATGAAGATAGGCCTTGGACTCCAGCTGATGGAAGGCCAGCACACGACATTCAATCCATTATGACATTGTTGATCCTTGTCAGCAGCACTGCTGTTTCTAAGCCTGGGGAGGTGGGAAGAGGTTGGGTCATATAGGGATGAGCCAGGAGAAGACTAAAGTAGAAAATGAGGTGGTGGTGTTCTTACCAGTTCTCTCTCTTTCATTAGCACATCTCCTATAGGGAGGAAAGCTTTCCATTGTAAGTTCAGCCAGCTTCAAGCAGGACCTTCTGACCCTGGGATCCCCAAACTTGCTTTTCCCAGGTTCAAGCCAATTTGGTGGTATAAGAAAGGACCTAAGAATCTCAAAGGAACTGAACAGACCAAACCCCAAGGCCCAGGTAGCACATATGGGTCAGAATCAGAACTATCACCAGGGGCCTGGGGAAAGTAAGGACCCACAAAGCACTTACCCTTGGAGGAGGAAGGTCCACACAAGCAGTAAGGTAGAAACACAGTTGGTAATGATCCACATCATTAAGTAGGTTTTGGGGGACTATGGAAATAGGAAAAAGCTCCTGTCAGTGGCCAGATCCCCAAGGGTAGTATATGGGGGAAACTAAGTAAGGAAGTGAGGGACAGGGTTAAGGAGAACAGAGATGAGAGAAGAAGAGGAGCAATGACAGTCCCAGAGCCTTACAATAAGCCAGATGGGGTAACGCATCTGCTGAAGCAGCTGGCAGTCATTGGTGGTGACTGAATCCACTCCTGCACACCAGAGCAGGGAGAAGAGCCAGGGTTTGTTCACTACAAATAGATTCACGGAGACATTATCCTGGTGCAGTGCCCTGTGGAAGTGGAAAAGAGACAGGGAACATCCAGAACAGTGGTGCAGGAGGCATGGAAGGTAGCCTCCTGTGTTAGTATCTATAGTGATGCTGTGGGTATCAGTTCAGTTCTAACTTTGCATAGCAGCCCCTGATCAAAGGTGGCTTTCTTTGCATAGATGAACTCTATCTCTTGGTGGATTCCATCCACAAGTCCTGGCTTTGCTGTCTGGGGCCACACAGATGTATCTCTCCTATTTGTCCCATGACAGCCTATTGGAGGTCTGAGGAACACAGGTGATGTCTCTCTGATCCTTCTCTTCTCCAGGGCCAAGAACCCCAATTCCTTCAACCATTACTCTTGGCACCTGGATTATTATTTCCTTCCCTTTACATGCCTTTCTAAATTTGATCTCACTTCAATTTATCAATGTTCCTTTGAAAATATAGAGCCAACTTCTGAACATTAACTCTCAGACACACTTGAGCCAAGTAAACAAATATTTATTTATTTGGTACTTGGGATTGAACCCAGATGTGCTTTACCACTGAGCTCCATCTCCAGTCCTTTTTATCTATTTTTATTTTTTGATACTGGAGATTGAACTCAGGGGCGCTTAGCTACTGAGCCACATCCCCAGCCCCTTTTCAATATTTTATTTAGAGACAGGGTCTCGCTGAATTGCTTAGGGCCTCACTAAGTTGCTGATGCTGACTTTGGATTCTGGATCCTCCTGCCTCAGACTCCTGAGCCACTGGGATTAGAGGCGTGCACCACTGGTAGCACCCCAAAAGTCCTTTTCATTTTGAGACAAGGTCTGATTAAGGTGCTGAGGTTGGTCTCAAACTTGCAATCCTCCTGCCTCAGCCTCCCAAGTAGCTTGGATTAGCTTGGGCCAGCTTTGAGCAAAGAAATTTATCTCCTCCTGCCTCTGGATACTGATACTATGCCTGCATGAGGGCAGCCTAGACTCAGAATAGCCTTTGGCAATGTCATCTCCCACTGATGACTCACTATGCCCATTGTTCAGGCAAATCCCTGGTCTTTTTCACACACTCCTGCTGATGTCAGTGTTTGTGTAATTGAAATTATTATTATTGTTATTATTTTTATAGTACTGGAAATTGAGCTCAGGGGTACTGTACCATTGAGTTATATCCCCAACATTTTAATCATTTTTTAAAACATTTTGAGACAGATTGTCACTAAATTGTCCAGGTTGGACTCAAACTTGTGATCTTCCTGCCTCAACCTGCCCAGTCACTGGGATTACAGGCATGTGCCACCATGTCTGGCTTCCCTTTTATATTTTATCTTGATAGGTTTGGCCTATCATTTTAAAGAACTTAGCCTTCCAGGGCTTTGATTCCATCATCAGCGTAATAATTAACAATATACATCTTTTGGAAACATGAGAGCAGTCGACATTGATCAGGACAAAACTAAGGTGCAGGTTTCTATGTCCTATCTCCCTCCAAGGTGACAACTTAAGGAAAGGCCCTTGAAACACTTATGATAACTAAACCATTATATAGTTCACATTTTTTTAAAAAAAAATTGAGCACAAGGACATTATGAGCCCTTAGCAACCTCATGCTTTGAAGTCCTTCATGTTTACTGGGTTGGTCAGCTTCTGAGGCCTAGTTCACATCTGGAACACTGCCATCTCTTTCTCTCTTTTAGATTAATCTTTTTTTTTTAGGGGGATACTGGGGATTGAACTCAGGGGCACTCGGCCACTGAGCCATATCCCCAGCCCTATTTTTGTATTTTATTTAGAGACAGGGTCTCACTGAGTTGCTTAGTGCCTTACTTTTACTAAGGCTGGCTTTGAACTCTCTATCCTCCTGCCTCATTGTCTGGAGCCGCTGGGATTATAGGTGTGTGCCACTGCACCCAGCAGATTCATCCTCTCTTAAAATGATCCATTCACCATAGAATAAAAGCTAAAGTATTTCTCATGGTCTACAAGGCCCTGCCCAATTTTCCCCCTGCCTCTCTCTCTAGTTTCACCTTCACCTTGCTCATTAGTCTGCTCATTAGTCTGGTTCCTTGTGACCACTCAGATTTTGGCCCAGACATCACTTCTTTAGTCACTCTTCCTAATGTAGCAACCTTGCCTTATGTACCATCTCCTTATTCTGAGCCGTAATGACTACTGCATCTCTGTATTTTCTCTTCATGACACTTATCACTACCCAATATGCATGTATTTCAAGTGGCTTATTTGTCTCTTTCACTAGTATGCAAACTCCACCAAAGAATGGACCTTCTCTATCTTATTCATGTTTATGTCCCCAAAGTCTGCAATATATACTACCTGATACACAGCAAGTGTTTGACAAATGCAAGGAGGGCCAAGGTTATTCATTCATTCACTTATACAACATCTTGTATAAGTGAATGTTGTATAAGTGAATGAATGAATAACCTTGGCCCTCCCTGCATTGGTTCTTCCCTGATAGTAAACTTTTGGGTCCTCTGGGTTCCTTTCTCTGGCACTCACTTGATATCTAACAGTGGCAGGTCTTGATATGGGAGGTTGAGAAACTGGGGCCTCTCAGTTATGTTGACTCTTTGCTGTCCATATATCTGGCGCATTCTTGGTGCACGTTGTTGGACATTAGCCCGATCTTCATCTGGTAGCCAAAGGACCTGTGGTTCAGGGAAGATGGGCATGAAGGTGAGGAAGACATAAGGATTGGGATAGGGGCAGGGGCAGAGAGGTTTGGCCATTGAATAGGGTATATAGTTGGGTGGGGGCAACCTTAAAATCATTATCATGGCCTAGGGTAGGCAGGGTGGGAAGAGGGGCAAATGGGGTCCCTTGGGAACCCTGATAATATCACCATGGCTTGGGGCACCCCTGCACTCAGCACAGTCTCCAATGTTTGGTTGACAAAGGTGTAATAGTATGTGTGGTTTTGTGGAGGACGACGCAAGTCAAACATGATGGAAAGGTTGAGGACTGCCGCTTCCTTCAGTAGCTCTTCTAATGCTGGTACTGTCTGACTCTCAGCTTCTTTCCGATCAGGGCCTGATAGCTGCTTGGCCCCCCAGAAGGGTTGCCTCTATAAAAAAGGAAAATTCTTTCAACACCAGAATATGTCTCCAGGTTCCCCCCATTCTCACCATCTTCACTCATCTCCTACTTGGTGTCCAGCTTCTGCCCACCTCTGAGCCAGGGTCTTTCTTTCCCTGAACTGTGACTTTCTTCCAGAATATCTTATACCTTACTCTTTGATTTTAATTACCCACTCTTCTAGTATTCCAACTTCCTTTTTTTCCCCTTACACCTTTTCTTTAGCCTCATGAAGATCTCTGGGATCCTGACCCTTTGGTTTCCTTCCAGTCTTTCAGCCCCTTTCTGCTTGCACCTACATCCCCCACCCATTGTCTATCCATAGCTTGAAATTATTTTTCCACAGTGCTGTCTGAATTCTCTGAATTCAGTGCTGCTATTATTCCCATTGTTCATAAGTGCTGTCAACTGCCATCCTGATCCACTTGCCCTACAATTCCTAAAGCCTGATCCAATTCCTCAACTGTCTCCTCCATCCCTAGAATGGGGGGCTGAGTGCTGCCACAGGAGAGCATAGCATGTGGCACTGCTGGCACTGTTGTCCTGATTTTTGCTCAGTGGTGCTTAGAAAGCCTTTCACTTGCTCTTGATTTGTTCCCTTTCCCATTCCCCCAGTAGCTATCCCAAGACCCTACCCTTCTGCTTGCCTTCCCTTATGGTCAATGAATAACCTCACTTCCTGTTTCATGACAAGGATAAAGTTAGCTATCTAACACTTGTATTGAGTACTTACTATATGCAAAACAGTGTTCCAAGTACTTCATGTGCATGAACTGACTTAATCCTCCCAATAACCCTATAAGGTGGGTGCTGCTATTATTCTCATTGTTCA